ATCATCAGTTATATATACTAGATCTCCCGTTTTCAAGTTTCGTTTTTCTACACAGTTCTTATTGCGTTGTTGCATAGCGGTTAGATACTCAAAAGTCCAATTCCTCGAGAATTCTGCAATCAGTTTGTGCAAGTAGTTGAAACGTTTTCTCGCGTACTTTTCATCTTCATTAAGCTCATCAATGGTTGGATCGTCAACAATGGGCAATTGACTTGACTTGCTTGGATTAAAAAAAAACTAAATTACAAAAGGGGCCCTTCCGTTTAGTTACGGTAAGTGCACAAGCTGGATAGGGCCATACCAGCGATATAAAAATGCATATATATCAGCAATGAAGTCATAAATCAGCATTAAATGCATCGTCATAATGTTAATTTATCTTAGCCGTCCTTCCTCTACAATAGCGCTTATGGAGTTGTCGATAAATTGAACTTTGCGTAGCGATCTGCACCCCCTTATACAAAGTATAGAGCTCCTCAGGAGCGCGAAGCTTATTTTAGTTCTTATGTAGTTTATAGATTCTGGATAGCTTTCTTGTCTTTTTTCACTTAGTTTTTCGGCCAATCGCTGCATCGTCCGCGTGGCTGTTGGAGCAGCGCCACCGGTGCATCCAAAAATTAGCGGGCAGAAGCTCTACGTTTAAAATTCTTTGCTGATATTTGGAGTTCTTCAGCGTTTTGTGGTATTTGTATGCATCCTTCTGCAGTTTTCGCGATGTTTTGGCATGGGGGTTGAAAATTTTCAATCAAAGAAAGCGCGGCTGAATCGTGAACCCCAGAGTCCGTTTGCCTTAATGTCAAGTCGTGCCTCATCTTCAGTTGTAGTTGAATTGTTGACAAAGCTTTCGCCTTGCAACGGCTGAAGTTTCGGCTCAATCTCGACGTCATGGCAAACCTCGTTCATGAGGTTGGCGAATGTGTCTCTGATTTCATTGTGTCTTATGTGTGTGTAACCACCCTTTGCACAGTGAAGCGCATGTGTCAAGTTAAAATCAGCACCACATGCACATGTGAGTGGGGTTTTGGTTGGTTCCCATCCGTATCTTAAGTAAATACCATCTCTGAACTCTGATTTATTCAGGTTGAAGTTGTATCTGCTCAGTGGTAGAGCATTGAGCCAGTTAGAGGCTCCCTTTTCAGAGGCCAGGTCGATTGCGTATTTATCTGTTTCATTTAAGGAGTTAATGAGGTTTGTCTTTTTTCGATTTGTTCTATCAGTTTTCAATTTTTTGATTTTCGTACATATTTTTTCTTGCTGTGTTACTGCTGTAATAGGATCTTGAGATTCCAGTACCAGTGATGTTTCCTTAGACCATTCTAGGTAGCTTTCATGATCGGATGGCAGCTTGATGTTAAGTCCGCCCATTTTAAGGGGTAAGGAAGATATCTCACGGAACTGGGGGTTTAAAGTGTCTTTACCGACTAGTTTAGGTAATAATTGTTCTTTGATAATATTTTCACATATTTCTAAGTTTTCCTTAGTGTTAGGCGTTGTCCTGGCAAGAAATGAAAGCTTTTCTTGAACTCCTTTAGTATAGCAGGCATAAACATTTTGAGGGGAGGTTTTAGCAATTTTGGTTAGTTTTTTCAAAATTTTGATTTGCTCATTCTGTTGAAATTCGAGGAACTTTTTACATTCAGATTCTGTTCCTATAACTGAACCAACCACTCGGGCTCCTGCCTTTATAGTGATTCCTGTACTTGCGAAAATTTTCTGAGCTTCACCGAGTTTTTCATCTTTGACAATGAGTTGGCATTTGGATGCTTTCACGTGGTAGCCGAAAAATTTACCCAGTGATACAATTTTATCGAGGACGGTTCGTAGATTGCTTAATTTACCGACTGCGTTTCCGTCGTCTGCGTACCATTTCTGGGTTACATCGTCTACTGATAAGAGTTTTATGAGGGGTAATATGGCTAGACCGTACATGGCCATTGCTAGTGGATCCCCCTGGGTTGTCCCTTCTTGAGAGTAGATTGTTTTTTGTTAACGAATAGTTTAGATGGATTGGAGTAGGAGTTCTTAATCGCTGTTAAAAGGGAAGGGCAGGTATTTTCGATGTTTTTTAATGCCAGCTTTCGGTTCAGCGAGTTGAAAGCGTTTTCGGCATCTATCAGTAAAACAGCATCGGCGGAAGTTTTGCTGTATTGATCTCTTAGCGAGTGGATCGCATATTCAATGCCACATTTTTGTCCTAGGCAGAGTTGGTAGTTTGAACCGAGCGACATGAGTTCGTTTTTTAGGCATTTAGTTATTGTTCGCCCTATTATCCTACGCATAACTTCTCCTATGCCTATGGGTCTTACCCCTGGATTCTTATCTAAGGGTATTAATCTGCATGCGTTATATGGTTCCATTAGTTCTGGATTTAGTTCTTCTGTGGCCAATTTTTTGGCAATTTTAGCAATTATTTTTGAAATTTCAACTGATTGTTGCCCGAAGTGTGTTAGAATACGTCTCCATTCATTCGCATCGAGGCCAGATGGTCCATGCGATCCGTGCGTTCTCATGGCTGCCTTCTTGATATGTTGACCGTTTATCTGATCAAATATCGATGGATGGAAAGGAATTGTTTCGTTTGAGACTGGTGTAATATAGTTCTCAAGGTCAACTCCAAGCAGGTATTTTACTTTCGTTCAAGAAAATCTTCAAGAGCGGCCATTTTGAGATATGAAACCAACTTTTTTTAAGTTTTAAGGTAATAAGACAAGCACCGGAACTGAATTCGAAAAAGTTTAATCAAGTCGAGTTGTCTTTGAACTCACTACATATGTGTAAGCTATGTGAACATATAGTAGCAAAGGCATGTAGAGATACCGTATAACTCCCTAACATGTATGCTTGTCTTAAACATGGCTGGAAATGTATCGCTCAATTAAAAAATTAAAAAAAGGATAATGCGCAGAAAAAGTATCCAGTTCACAAACAAATTGCGTAAAAGGTTGCGACAGAGGTACCACGAGGAGCTTCTATTTATATGCCAGTTAATCGAAAAAAAATACAACCAAACTGACGAAAAAATAACATTATCAAAACAGTCATTCAATTGTCAAATGAACTCTACCGTTCAGTATAATAAGACCTCGATACAGTTAACAGCTATAAATATCATTGAAAGAAAAATTAGTTAATATTCATGTATCTGACAAAATTGAGGTATACTTTCTTTCTCCCTCTAAGCGCGAAAAGATAGTGTTGCTTTCCAAATGACGCAAAATGAGACGAATAAGCTGATGTTAAGTTCAAGTAATTCTTGTCAAATAAACTATCAAAGCAAAAAAAAACACTTTTAACAAAAGACTTTAAAGCACAGTTCGGAGTGAAAATACTTATAATGAGGCAAAGCTTCGCTATTCTTGTGGTACAAAACAAGCATAACATTGCTAACTGCAAATAAAAACGAGACGCAATTCAATTTCAGAAAAACAATTCGAACTTCAAAGAAAAAAATATATGCCCTTTAAGCTCGTTGAGTTTCTAGAACAGTTTATCATTGACGCTTTTTTCATAACATGAACCCAACTGGATCAATAGCTAAAGTTTTTATTCCGCTGGATGTCTAAAAACTAAATTCCACTTTCGAAACTAGAAATCGTTTGTTTTTTTTTGCGACATTTCCACGTTCGTATCTGGAGAGTGCTATTAACGTCACTTTTAGCAGTTGAATTTCAATTGAACTCAAAAAGTTCAGATACACCTAAGCGCATTCATAAATGCATCAATCTGTAGTTTACATTTACGTCACCGTCAGCAGGTGAATTTCAATTGAATTCAAAAAGTGCAGATATATTCAAAAAGTGAATTCAACTTAGTGCATACATAAACGCATCAATATGTGTGAATGCACATATGCAGTTATTAGACTTTTAAGACTTTTTCTGAAAAAGGAAACAAAAAAAACAGCAAGACCTATATAAGTCTTCACTACGTTCATTACTCTCAATGAGAAAATTCAATTCTTCCCATTCAAACTATGCAAAATAAAGTGCATAATTCAATAAAACAAAAACCAATTAATGGAAAAAAACTTGAAAAAATTAAAAACTCGGATTTCAAAATCCGAAGTGGTATACTTACAAATAACACAACGACGCTAAGTCATTATATTTAAAAATCGAATCTTTGGAAATTAAGACAATAGCAAATGAGCAGACAAGCCAACGTCCGAGAACAAAAATTCAATTTTTCCTTTACAAAATCAATTTCACACGTATTGGTAAAAACAAGGTCCCATCGGAATCCGAACTCCAGACTTAAGGTGCACAGGCACCCGAATTACCTCTCGACCAGGTGAGAAGGATCGCGGAAGTTTAGGTTCAACAATAAAGGAAGTTCAAATTATATAAAAAAAACTAAATTACAAAAGGGGCCCTTCCGTTTAGTTACGGTAAGTGCACAAGCTGGATAGGGCCATACCAGCGATATAAAAATGCATATATATCAGCATTGAAGTCATAAATCAGCATTAAATGCATCGTCGTACTGTTAATTTATCTAAGCCGTCCTTCCTCTACAATAGCGCTTATGGAGTTGTCGATAAATTGAACTTCGCGTAGCGATCTGCACCCCCTTATACAAAGTATAGAGCTCCTCAGGAGCGCGAAGATTATTTTAGTTCTTATGTAGTTTATAGATTCTGGATAGCTTTCTTGTCTTTTTTCACTTAGTTTTTCGGCTAATCGCTGCATCGTTAAAACGTTGTAAATTTTTGAAAGTTTTTAAGGAAAAAGTCTAGTTCAGATTCCAAGACACTCCCTCTCGCAGGATAAAACCCACAGGTCTGTGCACCCTTAAGTCTGGAATTCGGATTCCAACCTCAAAAAATGTCAGTTGGCTTAGACCGGTCTCTTAGGAGTCCGTATGTCAGTGAAGATATACATACATGGACGGAATAAATCTTCAAATTTAACAAGTCTAGTACCCGGTTGCAATAACCTAGTCACAAGAATAAAACAACCTGAAAACATGCAGTTGATCCAAGCAATGAAATTGAAAAATACCTGATGCGACAGAAGAAGACGCTCTGCGCGGTATATGAACAATGCGGTTAGAAATTCAACTGGAATTCTGTTCGTTAGAAAATCCAATATCAAGATTCTCGAAGTGACGAAGAGCACTCCTCCGGTTTTGTAAATTTTAACTCTTTCAGTCACCGAACTGGTCGTCTCAGTCGTTAGAGATCTTGGTAATGCATCAGCATCAGACAAATGCTCTTGAAAGCAAGCAGTGTCTTCTTTAGTAGCATTTACTACAATAACTAGATTTGTTCGCACACAGAAAGCTTTCAAAAGGTGAGAGAAGATCCTTTCAATGCACAGCCCTCGTGCAACAATATTCAGTGAATCTTCCGAGAGCGCCTGCTCGATGATTTCATATTCATACGGCAAAAGCGCGTCCATTTTCTGAAAAGCAAAAATCATGCAGAGGCAACTCTAAATTGACTATGAAACAAAGGAAGGCAGTCAAAGGCGCAAATCATGTGAGGCTATTAGGTTACTTACGGACTTACTTGTCGGTAGATCTGATAACCTTTCAAACCGTGGCTCAAATTCTACATAGGAGATGGTTACGCATACTTTCAAAGAGAACTGATGATTGGCGACTTTGCCTGCCTTTCTTTGTTTCTTAATTAATTTAGAGTTACCTCTACATTTTCGAATATGTGAAAAAGTTAGAAAACGTAGGGAAAACATTTGGCAAATTTTTTCTCTTGACAAATTGAAAATTGATATTTCCCAATTTCTCAAGTTTCGTGTGCCAAAAACTGACGTTTTCTCTGAGCAAGTGGCGCTAAATTTTCAGACTATAAAAAAAATGAGGCGAGAAAAGCAAAAATTAATATGGTTCAGCTCACTATACATGTTGATGAAAACATCTTTATCAAAAAATTTGATAAAAGGCTGCTATCACTAGTTTTGAATTTTGACTGAAACTCAGCACAACCTCTAAAACAAACAAAACTATAATGAACGCTATTTTAATGAAAACTTGAAATTGCCAAGAATCAAAGTCAATTAAATTGAACAAGGAATAAAAAGAGCGTATATACTGCACAGTTTACAGTTGAAGCAGTAAAGTGAAGGGTGTGTGTCAACTAGTTGCCTCAAGGATGCATCCAGCGTTCCCGCGCTGAATCGCTAGGTCTAGCTTTTGTTTGAGAAATTTAAAAGCTAATTTCTCACCCGTTAAGACTGTTATTCGCCTTGCAATTTCTTTCAAGAAAACTGCAGTAGACCTACCAGCGCCACCCAGTGTTTCCATGGCAACGGGTTCGAAAATTACAGTGGAAGGTAGGTCTGAATAGTGGTTTCTTTTGCGGACTTCGGCCTCGGAAGCTGCATTTGCACCCGGAAGAACTCCCATTCGCAGATTAGAGTTTGCCAAACGACTTATACATGTGAAATCCCATGCCAAGATCCGTCCTCGCTGCCATGGCATTAGTGTGTGTCCATCTGGTCTGCGTCCATCTTTGCGTAGCAGCCCGATAGGTTCTAGTGTGGAACTGATGCCGAGTGATTTTATAGAATCTTTAAGGATCATGTTGCCATTGGAGTGTCTGATGAACCTGTGCTTGATCTTCGGGTAGACAAGTGCGTGTCTTCCATCTGTTGCTGCGACATAGCCACATTTGCACGTGTGTTGTGCGGTTACTGGGGCTCCTAGACGCAGACCAGCTGAAATACGGAACTCATCATCGGACAAAGTCAGACCCAGTGGACGAGAAGGGAGGACGTCCAGCCAAGCGCCTGAACCTACCGCGCGACAGCTGTGATAACGAGCAAGTGAAATTTCGTCGGTACAATTGCTCAAAATGTTTGCGGATTGTTGTTCGTGGATAGGTTTTGTCCAAAATTTTTGAGCGCACTGGGGGGTTAAGTCTTCAAATCGGTGGTTGTTGAGACTCCCAGTGGTCGACGGCTTCGTTTAAAAGACCAGGATTGCTTATCTCAGGAGCAAGGCGGTGCCGTAAATTTTCAGTGGAAGCAAAAGAAGCAGCTGATGAGCTGAGAGTGCTGGTTTTTGGAAGACCAAACCCTCCTTGTTTCGTGGGCAAGCAAATTCTCTCAAGTTCAAGGCATACAAGTGTGTCGATTTTGTCGAGTAAATCTGTGTGTTTAAAGGCAGGACTAGCGCGGAGGACATACATAAGTTTAGGGACTAAGAAACAGTTTTTAATGAGAAAGAAAGCGGTTTGACATGGTAAAGAAGCTGTTCGCTGCAGGAGTGTCTTGAGTTTCGCAAGTCTGTCCACTAACTCTGCTCGAATCGACCTAGTGCCTAGACCAGCCCCAAGAAGTGTGCTGTCTTCGGCATCAACGCATTGAATAGTGGGAAATGTCTCACGAAAAGCTCTTTCTATCTCCTTTTTACTGCTCCCAAAGCTGTCACCTCGCACTTCTTCTCATTCAAAAGAAGACCAAGTTTCTCACATGCTTGTTTGATACTCAGAAGATCATGGAGAGTGGTGCGCCATTCATCCGCAAAAGCAACGTCATCCAGGTATCCAGTTTTCAGCTTGCTCAAGAGGTTCTGCAAAGCAGGATGTAGGACAAGACAAAAGCCAAAGGTAGCCAAGGGATCGCCTTGCTGAAACCCTTCTGTTGATTTGATGGTGAAGGCACCATATATCAAGAAACTGCTTTCTTTGTAGCAGAGTTTCACAAAGCTAAGGATCTCCGGGACGTGTTCATTGATGGCTTTCAAAATGACATCACGTCTTACACTGTTGAAGGCGTTGGCAAAGTCAATTTTGACAAAGGCTTGATCACGTTCTGCGCATTCAATGAAATCGCGCGCTACATGGGCCGCCACCTCACTCCCGTGTTTAACACCAGCTCCTAGCTGAAAAGGCCAAAAATAATTTTTGAATTTTTCCAGCATGCGCCGTGAAATGCATTTGGAAGTGAGTCTTCGCAAAGTGTCTCCAATCGCAATCGGGCGTATTCCTCCACATTTCTTGGCCAAAGAGATTAGTGTAGCACTGGAGACGACAGGCTTGGTGAACGCAGGCATGTTGACTGTCAACAATAAATTTGTGTTGTCTGTCAGATGCGAGAGCAGGTTGTTGCCAGCTTCGTTAGCAGATGGTCAAAGTGCATCTTTCACGTGTTGTGGTCTGAGGCCCGTCGGTCCACCAGCACTACCTGCGTTAAAAGACATGACCGCTCTCCTGACTTCAGACTGACTAACTTGAAGTTGAACACAGTCATTAGATGGGGGTGTAGCTTCGTCTGCGGGTGCAGGAGGGTGTTTCGCACCGAGCAGTGTTTTGTTCTCAAGAGTCGGTGGCAAGAAAGTATCGTCGCTGGCTGCCAACCTGACAGCTCCCTTGATATCTCCTTCGTCAAGTTTGGCAGCAATCAGTTTGGAGTTGTCGTTGTTCCCAGAGCTTGCTGGTTTCTGCGAGACTGGAATGGCAAAGTGTACTCACCCTTGTTGAAAGCATTTATCTGTTGCTGTATGGTGCTTCCAAGTGAGGCTCTGACCTTCTTACCTGCGCGTGTAGGTTTGCGGAGGCAGCAAGAGGGCATGATCAGATAGCGACCCCATGCTTCCTTGCTTCCCGGGTTAGTAACCACCTCTTTGATGCATTCAGCAAACGTGGAGGCAAAGTTGACACGTGCGAATTTAGGGACAAATTTAACAGTAGGACATTGAAACTTAGTTTACAAATCAATAAAATCAGTTGTTTGAAAGTTTTCAAAATCTAACTCATGTCGTTTGTCTGTATCGCGAGTAGTGTTCTTTCCGGTGCGTGGACATCGGTTGTTTATGGGACCATGTGTGTGGAACTGCTTGTTTGCCTTTACCGTGACGAGTCGGTTGCAGTCAGGGCATATTTGTCTGCGGCTTCGGTTGATTTCAGTTTTGCAGTTGTCACATATGAAATCGATGTTGGGGGCTGCTTCTTTGCTCACTCCTACACAATCACTGTGAAACCATGTGTCACAGTTGTCGCATTGTATCCAGCCCACGTCACCTGATGGTCGTGAGCAGCCTTCCGAGGCACAGAAGGCAGATGTTGTGTCACTAGTATCAGTCGAATGATTATCGGGGCCACCACGGCGGCTCCGCGTACGTACCATTGATCTGAAACTATTTAATAAGTTTATCACAACAATTAGGCTAAGAGTCTGAGGTTTCTGCTGTTTCCGCTGACGGTCAGTGTAAATATTGTTTTTTGTAGCCTTTTTACATATTTCGCATCGATTTTTCATTTCGGTAGCTGGTATTCATTTTTGTAAAACAGGTCTGGTTTCATGCGTTGTCGTTGTGGCTGAGGTTTGTCGGTTAGTGAGTGACAGGGGTGCCTCGGGTTGTAACAGGTGACGGCATTTTGTTCTGCAAGCATATACATGTATTCTTTGATGTGAGGAACTCATGATTCGTTTTGTAGATTGTCTATGTTTGTCAAGTTGTAGCACCCTGTTGTTATTCGGAGTGCTTTATTCTGTGCATGTTGTAGCCAGTGACTGAAAGTAGCTGCACACTGTTTTGATGTAGCTGTTATAATCGTCAACGAGGTCATCTGGGTTAGGACACGACGTGTAGATTAGATTGTCACATCATCTGCGTAGACGATGACCTTTTTTCCTTCCGGAGGTCCTGGGAAGTCGAACATGTACAGGTTGAACAATGTGGGCGACACGACACCGCCTCCAACAATATCGGCTCTTTTTTTGCGAGGCTTCTAGCTTTTCCCGCGAAAATTAACTCTTGCTTGTCTGTCTTGAAAAGAGTTATTCATCCAGCGTTTGATACTGTTCGGCGCTGGGTTGAACAGAACTCGCTCGGCGAGGCAACTGGGATCCACCGTATCAAAGGCAGCAAGGAGATCAAGCGCAACCAGGATAGTTCTGTCGGCAGGTTTCTTCTGGTTGAAACCGCGCGTGATGTCGGCGACATTGTGGTGAAGGGCTGTTTCGCTTGAGTGGTGCTTGCGGTAAACGTGCTCTGTCGGAATCGGTCTCGATGCGAGGCATGAGGATTCTTTCCATGATTTTGGCGGTGGCGCGAAATAGGCTGATGGGTCTACAGTTCTTGCCAACAGAGTGGTCTTTGCCATGTTTGGGAAGAGGGACGACATTGGATTTTCTCCAGATTGTGGGACTGATGCCAGTGTTGAGGGGTGTTGCACAAGTATTTAACGGCGAGAGGTCCTAGCTTTTTCAGGTCCAGGCTGGTGATCTCATTAAGACCAGCTGCTTTTGAGGGCTTGTCACGTTTAATAGCATGTTGCACTTCTTCAGGTGTAATCATTGGGACGTCGTCCAGGCAGAGCTTGGCGGTTCATCTTCTGATCTTGCGAAGCTTATGGCATCCTTTGGGTCTGTTGCTGGGAGGGACGAACTGCTTGCAAAACATGTTGCTTAGCTTGCTTGATGCGGTCTGGGATTTTCCTTGAAACGAATGCTAATTGTTGTTGGGAAAGGAGGTTTGTCCTCTGATTTGCTTGACAAATTTCCCTATTCGTGCCGGCTTGGTGCGGATGGAGATGCTACTGACTTTCTCTCTCCATCTTTTTTGATTGTCAACGTTGACAACTTTGGCAATTTTAGCATTCAACTCCGTAATGCGAGGGCCGGACATGTTGCCAGTGCGATGTCTGTCGCGCAGTTTGGTAGGTTCGATGGCCTCAGTCGATGGCCGGTTCGGTTCAAAGTGTTTCCCTCTGCCTCGAGGGATGTGGTGGTCCGAAGCCTTGTTCACGATGTGCCTGAAAGTCTTCTCGCTGCTGATGGCATCACGTGGAGGCTGGAGCTTAGCAAAACCTTCTTCGCATTATTTAGCGAAGTTTTCCCAGTCCGCTTTCTTGAAGCTCGTGAAACATCTTCTGGTGTTGTCGACCGTCGTGTGCTATTCGACGGGAAGACTGATGCAGATCGCGAGGTGGTCACTGGTCATCTCAGTCGAGACGGTCCACTCGGCAATGGTGGCAAAGTCGCTAGTAGCCAGAGAGATGTCAGAGAGGTTTCAGAGCCATTCGCTGGAACAACTCAATATAACCCGGTTGGAATCAATGATTTCTTCTGCAATGTCATCGCATTGTGTGTCTGTGTTTACTCTTGTGTCCCAGAGCTCGTTGCGGGCGTTTATGTCTCCAAGCAGCAGAGTTTTTTGGAGAGTGGTCAGGTGCTGAAGTTACGCTTTGTACCTGGTGTTGCATGACGATTGGGTGGTATGAAGCAGTTGACAATCGTCAAGTCGTTGCTGCCGAGCTTGACGGCAATTGTTTGTTGCTCGATTGTGCTGGAGTAAAATTGCCATTCGCAGTTTTACTGAAATCTCCAAATCGAGTAGAGCTAATTTGTTTCTGACAGAAAATATCGCGAATTTCTACGAAAGTGTCATCGATGGGCAAGGGAGAATCTTGATTGGACAGGTAGACAAATCCAACTGCCCAATGGTTCAGAGAAAAAAACTACTTGAGTCAATATTATTTATTTCAAACATCTTTAGAGTTATCTAGAGATATCTTAGCTACGTTATTTACTTGATTTTGAAGTCACGCCAATATAAGAGCAATGAAATTAATTTCCTGAGCGTATTTTACACAATTATGTTGAGATAAAACGGGTTTTAGGTTGATTCATCTGAAATGGATCAAAGGTCCGCTGCCCAATGAAAACTAATGATATGCTTGAGTTTCCAACACCGTTTTTAACGGCGTTCATGTCCTTTAGGTTTTTAGATACCTAGCCATGTAGACGTTCTCATATCTATAGTGGGGGGGGGGGGTATTTTGGTAGTGGCTTTTAAGTTAAAACACGATTTTATAGTCCCATGTCTTAAGCGAAAGAATTGGCTCCGAGAGAGTGATGTATAAAAACACAAGAGATAGAGTGACTGACCGTTGCGCCAATAGTTAAAGGGGCTATTCGTTTTAACCTCATGTTTGACATAAGCGGACGACTGTTACAGATAGGTTCAAGGATTTTTCAAAGACTTTCAAATTGTTAATTCAAATGTTTTCGCACATTCTGTGCATCATCAGGATTAAAGTTTTTTACAATACTTAACAAAGGATAGACAATCTGAAAACATAATGATTATGTCTAAAAATGCTCTAAAATTTAAACAGCAATAATTACATAATAAGTTACCTAATCATTTAAAACATTTTCCCGTAAACTTTGGAGTTTTTTTCAGTTTTTTTGTGCTTTCGATGTTATAAAATGTTCGATTTGGGATTATTTTGATTCTGAAATGTCCGTTTTTGGAAACTTAGCCATCTTCTACATTGTCTATAATTTTGATGTTAATTCCCAGCTCCTGAATTAATCGCATGTGTCGATTTTCGGCCTTCCCTTCCAAATATGCAAAGCTTGTAGTGTGAGTAGCTTCTGGGTGTTGGCTGTTTAGTCTATAACATCTGAATTCAGCTAAGTAGTACTGCCTACCTCCTTATTACAATCCAACAAGTGTTGCCCTACTGGGGAGGCCTCTTTTGCGGTGTTCAACGATCCTCGTGGCTAAGTGTCGGACTATCTAGCTGACAGAGTTGGGGTTACATCCACTACATGTAAGCATATACACGACTCTGGATCACAGTTCACGAGCAAAGGACTTTTAGAAGGATAGTAAGAATGTTTTTAAGTTTCTTGTTGTACAAATTTTTTGTGCCCCGGATATTTTCCGAACCGTTGCAGCTAACAGTTGGGATGGATTGCCTCGATTTTGCATTGTAAAAAAGGGGAGTGAGTCTTTAAACTATTTATCATTTCTCGGTTCTGATGCCGTCACTTCTTGAATTTTCTTTCCCTAAATGATCTTGTTAAGAGTTTCAAACACTGCCCTGTCCAAACAAGTTTTCGGATATTGATTTTCAATCCATTTTGGCCAAATTTTCTCCAATGTCCGGTCAAAGATTTCCCATGTTGTGGTACCGCTAAAAACCTTACGGACCGTCCCTTCAATTACGCTTTTTTTGCATTGCAAAGGTGCGCAGCTTCTAAATTTCAGAATAGAGCAGGTATCAGTGAGTTTTTACTACCACTCACAAAAGACTTTTTTCCTGAGTCCCTGTCAACATAAAAAACCAAAAAAGCCAACTTACCGTTACTATGAAATTCTTCAATGGTGAACTGAAAGTTTGTATGCGACTTATTGGCAGCCTCAATGACTACCCCAGGATTGCCTTCGACACTTCGAACTATGTCATCCGCAAATCTTAGAGAAATTTTAAGACCATTCTCAGTCCGATATGCTTCTTGTTGCTTTTTGCAAGTCATGCAACACCATACTGTCTTAGCGTATTCGACTTCCGCAATGTTACCCTCCCTAAGTGGTAACAATTTAAACAAGCTTCGCTTTCTACCACTTTGGTTCGAAATGTCACCTTTTTTTGACATCCCTGTTATCCTCATTTACCACAGTTACTTTTGGTACTTCTTTCATCAATTCAGGTTTGTATTCTTTGAGCCACAAATTGCTGAACCGTCTTTCTGTACATACCACAAACCATTGCACTTAAAGTGTTGTAAAAAAATTTTGTGCCCCGGATATTTTCCGAACCTTTGCAGCCAACAGTTTTGATGGATTGCCTCGATATTGCATTGTAAAAAAAGGGGAGTGAGTCTTCAAACTATTTATCATTTCTCGGTTCTGATGCCGTCATTTCTTATTGATTCTTTCCCTAAACGATCTTGTTAAGAGTTTCAAACACTACCCTGTCCAAACAAGTTTTCGGATATTGATTTTCAATCTATTCTGACCGATTTTTCTCCAATGTCGGTCAAACTTTTCCCATGTTGTGGTACTTCTGAAAACCTTATGGACCGTCCCTTCAATTACGCTTTTTTTGCATTGCAAAGGTGCGCAGCCATTCGCTGGAACAACTCAATATGACCCAGTTGGAATCAATGATTTCTTCTGCAATGTCATAGCATTGTGTGTCTGTGTTTATTCTTGTGTCCCAGAGCTCGTTGCGGGCGTTTATGTCTCCAAGAAGCAGAGTTTTTTGGAGAGTGGCCAGGTGCTGAAGTGACGCTTTGTACCTGGTTTTGCATGACGAATGAGGTGGTATGAAGCAGTTGACAATCGTCAGGTCGTTGCTGCCGAGCTTGACGGCAAATGTTTGTTGCTCGATTGTGCTGGAGTAAAATTGCCATTCGCAGTTTTACTGAAATCACCAAATCGAGTAGAACTGATTTGTTTCTGACAGAGAATATCGCGAATTTCTACGAGAGTGTCATCGATGGGCAAGTGAGAATCTTGATTGGAGAGGTAGACAAGTCCAACTGCCCAATGGTTCAGAGAACAGAACTACTTGAGTCAAAATTATTTACTTCAAACATCTTTAGAGTTATCTAGAGTTATCTTAGTTACGTTATTTACTTGATTTTGAAGTCATGCCAATATAAGAGCAAGGAAATTAATTTCCTGAGCGTATTTTACACAATTATGTTGAGATAAAGCTGGTTTTAGGTTGATTCATCTGAAATGGATCAAAGCTCCGCTGTCCAATGAAAACTAATGGTTTGCTTGAGTTTCCAACACTGTTTTTAACTGCGTTCACATCCTTCAGGTTTTTAGATACCTAGCCACGGGGACGTTCTCATATCTATTATGGGGGGGTATTTTGGTAGTGGCTTTTAAGTTATAACACGATTTTATAGTTACATGACTTCAGCGAAAGAATTGGCTCCGAGAGAGTGATGTATAAAAACATAAGATAGAGTGCCTGACCGTTGCGCCAATGGTTAAAGGGCCTATTCATTTTAACCTCATGTTTGACATAAGCTGACGACTGTTACAGATAGGTTCAAGGATTTTTTTCCTGGCCGATAATGTCAAAAAACTTTCAAATTGTTAATTCAATCGTTTTCGCCCATTCTCTGCATCATCGGGATTAAAGTTTTTTACAATACTTAACAAAGGATAGAAGATCTGAAAACCTGATGGTTATGTCTAAAAATGCTCCAAAATTTAAACAACAATAGTTACATAATAAGTTACCTAATCATTTAAAACATTTTCCTGTAAACTTTGGAGTTTTTTTCAGTTTTTTTGTGCTTTCGATGTTATAAAATTTTCGATTTGGGATTAATTTTGATTCTGATATGT